ATTGTATAGAAGGCAGGGTGTGGCTGTTTGACGACATAGTCATCACTCCTGTTTGTGTTGACTTTTGATAAGTAGGAAACACGTGGTCTCTATTTATGTGGTTTCTATGAATCACAGCAGCATTACGTGAAATGTGTCACACCTAAAATAACTTGCTAATGAGTAAGGTTCAAAATTATAGAAAAACTGAATGAGTAATTGTTAGATTAGAACTACTAGATAAACAGTTCTTTTAAAATACTGTAATTTCTTTCAGAATACGGAATTCTCAACATAAGAATGAATTCACATTTAAAGTGTGATTTATTCTTATTTTTAAACGACCTACTTTCTCTGCGTTTTGAGATGGTTTGTAGATGTATAACTTTTGCAATGTTGTCAGAACACAGAAAATAATTTGATAACTCAATTTCTTCCTTTAAATAAAGGATGTTGCATCTGGCAAAACAGACATTTGTCTGCTAAGATGCAGCTTCTTACTTTCGGTCTACAGATGGATAGTAACAGGTGATAATAACAGCTAGCATTTGTGAGTGCTTCTCTTGAGTCAGGCAAGTGCTAAGTGTTTCATGCGTATTATCTCATTTAATCCTCACCATAACCCTGTGAGATAGATACATCTCCATTTCACACATGGGATAACTAAGATGTTACATAGCTTCTTCAGAATTGCAGGTAGAAAGTGGCAGAGCAGGGCTTTAAACTCAGGCATCCTAGTTCCAGAGCCCCTACTTGGCCTCAACAGGCCACCATTGACATCATGTTGTGAATTAAGGTAAGTAGCTGAGGCAGCCTCTGTAGACCTAATAGTCCTGCTATAAAATTGTGCTTTCTTCTTTTGGTTTTAAACTCATAAAAATTTTTGTTTTGTTTTAGAGGCAGTCTTAGGTGAGTTTACAATTGTATGGTATAAGAGTTGCTAATTAAAAACTTAATTAGATTTTTCGAGTTATTGAGGTTGGAGTAGCTAGTATGTGCAGTACGAATGTTTTATAATGTTCATGAAAATGCCCACAAAACTGGTAAAACATTTAAAGACAATTTATCTTATACTGAAGTTTAGAGTATTATATTTTTATTCTCTTTCTCTCTCACACCTACACCCATACACACACACAGTCATGATGTGTTAACACATCTTTTTATCCAGGAAAATTGGATAAAAAGATTAACTGAACATTTTTATTTACTGATCTACCTTCTATACCCTTAACAGAGGAGGATTATTTTTGAAGGTGTATTATATGGTAAAATACCCTAATTTAAAAATTTCTAAATAGATTGAAGATAATTTATTTTTCTTAGCCTATAAATACTTTAGAGTCTAATGTAGTTGAGTTACTCTTTTACTGAGTACTTATAAAATGCTGTTAGTTTTTGGTGTCTGTTTCATGTGGGTGCTTCTGTAACTTTCCAGAAAGTTAAATGTTCTAAGCCTCAAATTTCATACGGGTGAAATGGACATAATAGGATTATTAAATTTAAGGATTGTGTGGATTGCATAGATAATGAGAAAAATTACCTAGAACAAAAACTGGTATCAGCTTCTTCTATTCTTTGTTTCTTTAGGTACCGGAGATTTAGTAAATTGATGTAAATCTGATTGGTTTTGACTTCTTTTGAATGTTGTTCTTTTATATTAACAAATTTATATGTAAATTTATTTTTTATAAATTTATTTTATAAATTTAGATATAAACACCTGTAATCTTCAAAGAATATAAACAAAAGATAATATTAAAAATAAGTGTAATTCTACAACTTAGCAATAATTACTGTTAGTATATTTATTCCATGTTTAGTTATGATACATTCTTAGAGAGTTACAGAAATTGGGATTATACTCCACGTATTTTTCGTAAATTGCTTTTTAAATAAGAAGTATTCTTTACAAGTAATAAATCCACTTTTATGACATGAATTTCAATTTCGTGTCGTTTTCTGTTTTATGGCTATATCATAATGTAATCAATTTCTTATTGCTGGGCATTCAGGGTCTTTGCAATTGTTGCTATTTATTCTACAGAACGCTGTGAAACAGTTCTGTTCTGTGTGCTTGTCCTGTTGTCCTAGTATAAATTGCTAGATCCTACACCCAGGAGAATATGCATACTTAAGACTTCTGATACATATCACAAATTACCTGCTAGAATTGTGGTATCATTTTATATTACCTTCAGTGGTGTACAGGGCATGCCAGATTGCCACGTCCTCAAAATATAAGCTATTATTTAAAACCTTCATTTAGTTTTTATATTGTCTTTAAAAAAAATATAAATACTGTGCAAATGGAATCTGGTCTTTTATCATCATTATTTAGATTTTGGAAAGTACATAAGTACAAGAGTACATCAATATTTGGATATATGAGGGGATCTGAAGTCTACTACACACGATCTGGCCTTTCTGTTGTCTTTTGGGGGGAGATGAACCATTATGGATAGTTGGGTTTTCTGAATAGCTTTGAATATTCCATTTTTCCCACTTTATTAAAGGATATTCTAAATATAACTAACTCAGCCATGTCTATATGATGCGGAGGTGTGTTTCTGAGGATTAATTACTGGAGTATTGTCAGAGTTGTAACTTCAGGGTCAATGCACGTAAGGAGGTTTGGGATGTGCTGTTTAACCACCCTCAAGAACTTGATTGCACATTTCAGCCACTACAAACTAATAAGCAGGTGATATTTTCCCTGCTTCAGATGAGCAGATTGGGGTGCAGAGAGGTTATGTAACTTGCTTAAGATCACACAGTTATTAGGTAGTGAATGTGGAATTTGCACTTACTTTGTTTTGGTCAGACTTCAGTTCTTTTTCTTTCCATTTTGCTACTTGCTACACGCTGCCCTCTTAATTGGTCCTTTCATTGCTGTTGACTGTCATTCTTCACCGCTATCTGATGTCTGCAGGACACAGCTTTTCTTTCTTCTAAATCACTGCTTTGAATCTATATTGATTTGGGGATATAATTGCCAGATTGTAGTGTCAGTGGCTCTGAGGGGCTTTGCTATGACTAGAGAAAATGGGCTTTAACATCTGTGTTGGATGTTTCTGGGCCTATTTCATGCTTTTTGGCTTTGCATAGGAGTTTCCAGATGAATGACATGTTACAACGTTTTCTGTAGCTGAGATCTGCACTCCCCTTGAGTTTGTTTTGGAACAATTTGGGGAAAATTCAAAATAGTTTGTGTTGCACAGGATGCTGGGATAATCCAGGGTCCTCTCAGAGTTATTTTCAGAAGAATGTGTCATTCTCTTTGTTTAACTGTGCTTTAAACATTATGTTTTTCTTGTTTTTTAAAATTTATTTATTTTTATTTGAGATGGAGTCTCGCTCTGTCACCCAGGCTGGAGTGCAGTGGCCCCATCTTGGCTCACTGCAACCTCTGCCTCCTGGGTTCAAGCCGTTCTCCTGCCTCAGCCTCCAGGGTAGCTGGGACTACAGGCACCTGCCACCACGCCCGCCTAATTTTTTGTATTTTTAGCAGAGATTGGGTTTCACCGTGTTAGCCAGGATGGTCCTGATCTTGTGATCCGCCCGCCTCAGCCTCCCAAAGTGCTGGGATTACAGGCGTGAGCCACCGTGCCCAGCCTAAACATTATGTTTTTCTTATGAGGCTATGGACTCCTTGAGGGAAGAGCTGCCTGCCTTTAAAACATTTTTTTTTTTTCCAGTAAATTCCTACCCAGCATTCAGGTAGTGCCTGTAACAGACACTCAGCCTTTGTTTAAGTAAAGCAGCAGTGCAGCCCTTCTGTAGATTAATGCCAAGTACAGGAAGAATCTACCTCTTCCTGTTGCCTCCTGGCCCAGGCTCCTGTCCAAATGTATAGACCAACTTCTGAGAAACACAACCATTATTTTGTCAGTTAACAGGTACCATGTCTAGCTGCAGTAATGTTGGGTACTGTGGAGAGATGCAGAATGAAGACACACAGGGATTATAGGGGGGCTGTGAAGCTGGCAGCAGTGAGGACAGCTAGTGGATGGTGGTAAAGGTCCCTTCATTGAGCCCTGGAGCCAACCTGGCTCCAGGTTGAATATCAGAAATGTATTTCTTTCTGAAGCGGCAGGTGGAGCAAGGACTACTCCTGCTTTTAGGTGGTGGCTGCATCTCCAGGACAGCTGATGTCACTGCCGTTGGTCCCTGCCCTCCGCTCGAGCTGGGACTCAGTCCCAAGGGTTGTTCTTAGAGCAGCTTTTCCCCACCGTGACCTTCATTTTCTCTGCTACTATTTCCCTTGTGGAATCCCCTTTTCTATCCCCCCACCTCCCACTTTAGAGAGAGAATCTAGATATTTTTCTAGAGTTTTCACCAACATTATTGGTGGTGGTAACTGCAGGTGCCTGTTCCTCTGTAATTCCTTAAGTTGGGAATTGTCTGTTTAAAATACTCACCATCTTACCTTTCTTTCTATTTGTTCTCTGCGCCCAGGATTTAATAGTCTTCTCCCTAGGATGTTTCAATAAATGGTTCTTTACATCAATTAGGACAATTTCATAAATAAGTTTAAGAAGTGCCATGCCCTCTGCTGTTTTGCTTTGTAATGAAGTTTAAGGAATATAAAGATGGAATTGACATGAATGATTTGTGTATTCAGTGTAGTTGGTATTTTGAGTTTCTGTCTTAAACTGTTTTTATTCACTCTTATTAGAATAGATCACCCATAGGTTTTTAAAAAATATATAAAATATGTTGAAAATTTAGTTTAGCTCTTAACTTTCATGTATCATCCAATAAAATGATTATATTACCAAAAACACTCATTGTGATTTGTTCCTGCATATATTTGTCATACTAAAATGGTTAAACTATCTCTTTGTAACATAAAACAAATAGTACATATTACTATAAGGAACAGATTATAGGATATAACAGTCTATATATGCAAATCCTTCAAGTATAACATTAAATGCATATTAATTAATCTAATACTGAATTTGACTTGTGTGTTATCCCTGCTTAAGAGAAAATTAACACACAAACCTGTCTTTCAGGCAGTGACAGAGAAGAATTTTGAAACAAAAGATTTTCGAGCCTCTCTAGAAAATGGTGTTCTGCTGTGTGAGTAAGTATTTAAAGTATTTAAAAAATAATTCAAAAGCAAAGATGTGTGTGTGTGTGTGTGTGTGTGTGGTGTTTGGCTTCTCCCATGGCCACCGTAGTCACAGATGTGTGTTCTTGGTCACCGGTGAGATTTGATCCCCGCAAATTGATACCTCACAGTACAAGACAGTAGGAAGAAGGGGTTATCAGTCTCTGTATCTAAAGACAGCACTGGTAAAATATATATTATTTTTAATTAGTAAACAAGAAAGATTCTATTGCATGGTGGACCAGTAGGGGGTGGGTGATTGAGAAGGAAGCCTTATGACATTTTACCATCTATCTCCTAGTCTGAATATTCTAATGGGTAGAATTGCCTGATTTAGAAGTTAATACACAAAATCTTTGCTTCATCAATAAATCATGATGATTGGAGTGGTAGATTTTTCTTTTCAGCTTTAAGTGGAGTCATTACATTACCAAAATCAGTTTGCGTTATGGACTATTCATTCAATGAAGATACCATTGAGAACAACACCCCAGACTTCGCTTACAAAGAAGTAGAATAGGCTAGTACCATGATTGATGGTATAAGGCCTACATTGTATGTGTAGTGTAATATCTTGCTCCCCAATGGATGCATAGTACAGTTAACCAAGTATGTGACCTTTGGGAATAAGGGAGAGGCAGGCCTGTGAGGCATAAGGATGAAATCCTGGGTGAAGGTAGAGGTTGCAGAAGCGAGCAAATAAATTCTTAGAATGTACTTGAATACTCACCCACATTTTTGAAAGCACTTAACTGTTTCAATCTAGACACTTATCGCCCAAGTGTTCGTGCTATCTGTCCACATGTAGGCAGTGAGAGTGTATGCACTAGTACTTAGAGATTTTGATTATCCTTTTGAAGGAGTTGTTTGCAACAAAAGGTCTGGAGTCAAAGGGCCTAGGTTAGATTTCTCACTCCATTACTTTTGGACCTTTGAATAAGTGACTTCACATCTTTGAACATTTGACCAAGTGACTTAACATTTGAGCTTTATTTTCTCATCTGTAAAGTGGAGATCAAGGTACCTGATGTGCCTAATTCACAGAGTTGCTGAGTTCAACAATATATATTTTAAGGTTTTTATAAACCATCAAACTTTGTATATGTACAAGTTGTTGCTAGACGATGGGCATGTAAATAACAGTCTCTATCTTGTCAGCTCTGTTGGCAGGCGTTCAAACTTCTTTGTGTTAGGGTGATATTATTAATTTGTTCCATATGAAGTTGCTGATATTTAACCATTTGTGACCTACAGTAGTGTCAATTTCATGTGGTTTCACCTAATGTATAGGTGACATGTATAGGACAGACATGTGAATAAGGGCCAGGAATAAAGTTTAAAGTGTGTTTCTTGTGATCTTCCAATGATACATTCATTGGAACGTGAATAATGTTTCAGTTAGTTTGACAATGAGTCAAATAGTGTTTAAACTAATTTAAGTAAACCATGTAGCCCAACTGGTCACTAAAGGCAAGTTATTTTATCTTAATCTGAAAACTGTATGATTTAAATGTATTCTAGTAATGTTTAGAAGATGGAGGGTAAACAATACCTGTTAGAAAGAGCTGTGTGAACTGCAAACTACTTTAGTTGTTATATAAATGTTTGCAATTAAAAAAAAAAAGCCATCAACCGTACACCCCACAAGTCTGAATAGGAACTGGGTGGGTTTGTGCCTATAAGGAAGTGTGTCTATGAAGCACGGAATCCTTCTAGATTTATAAAAGCATATATCTCAAATATATGATCTTTTCAAAGAAATAACTTTGTAGGTTATATATTTCCAGTAATGAACTATTGCCCATAATATTTTAGGGGTCCCACTTTTGGGGCATTGACCCCACAAATAGGTCATTAAACATGTTTGATAGTGACACCCAGGTTTTCACTTAAAATGCACCTTATGCACCAGCCTGGGCTCCGAATGATTAGAAGTGATTTCCAAAAGCTATACCAAGCCTGAAAAGATCAGTGTAGTGTGACTAGGGAGGATATTCAGAGTTGATGAAAAACTATTGTGAGCACAGGCAGTACACGTTAGAAGAAATACGTAATTTCTACCTTAATGGCAATAGCAAACATTTGGATGAATGTTTAGCGATATATTCGTTTTTTAAAAAGTCACTTTAATTCTCAGACCTCCAAAGCTCATTCTAATACTGTTTTCTAATTGGAATAACACCAGTTTGGAGTTTTGTGCATTGTCACATAAGTCTCATCAATCTCTTAGTACCCAGTATTCTTTAAATTAACGTTTCCCAAAAGTAGCTTAAGTAAATCTGAAGCCATGGTAATCAGCAATTGTAATTTACTGTGGGACACCAAAGTACTGTGTAATATTTTTATTAAAAAATATTTCTGTAAATTGTGAATCACATTGTTGATAGCCACTGGTTAATGACGACACATTCATCTAAAAGCTGTGGTGTTAACGAATAAAAAGTCCAGATAACTATATTTAGTATGAAACCTGTAACTGAGGAAAGCCTGGCTGGTTGCACTCTGAAATGATTAAGCAGGCACTGCTGTTTGTGGCCACATCCACCTGCGTTATATATAATGCCTGAGAGGAAAACAAAGTCAGCTGTTCAGAGGTCTGGTATTACAAGCCCTGACTTTTTAATTAATGGTAAATATAGTAAGCTATCTGTCTTTGAGGATATTTTACCCACTAGAGATCCCAAGTTTTAGCTGAAATATGATTAGGATATTTTTAAAACCTGAATTCATTTTCGTACAGGAAAAGGCTGACTTCCGTCTGGCTCACTGCCAGAATCATATTTCTTGTGACATACAAGTTCTGCTTGTTGCCTGTTAGAAACCTCTAGGCATTCTCCTTCATTACCACCATTAAATAGTTTCCTTAATATTTAATCCAGTAATCTCAGCAGTTTTAAAAAAATCCATTAGTAGTACTCTTTTCTTTTGAACTGGTGTTCTGAAATATCAAAGTCAAAAGTTCGAATAGCTTATTATAGCTTTCACCCAATTGGAAGTGAACTGACATTTCAGATAGTCTAAGTGGGGATAAACCGTGCACTGTGGTTTCAGACAGGATATACATTTGAGTAATGAGGATAGTTATGTGTGTTCATTGCCTTTTAATCTGATTGACTATTGAAGTTAGTATCTTCATATTAGTCATTTTAGTGTCGTTAGTTTGACTGTGGCATCTAGTGAGTTGGGGGATAAAGAATACTCCCTTGATGAAAGTCTATGACTGTAGTCTCTCTTGGTTTTACTAAACAGTGAGATGGGAACACTGTCTGATATTTTTGCTTTTTAATTAATAAAAGGGTTGCAAGTGTTTATAAGGTAATTTTAGCTCCTTGTTATAATGTGCTATGAATTTTATTAGTAGTGTTCATTAATCTGTCTTTCTTCAGTATTTCTTAGTGCTCATGTAGACTGCCTTATTATGTATATTTTAAAAATATAAAAGATGTATCACTTGATCAATGTCCATGATCTCGTTTTGCTCTGGGTTCTAGCAGAATTATTCCTCTTTTCTAAACATATTCGGTTGAGACATAAACAGGTAATGATATCAGTAATTTCCCAGTTACTCATCTGATGATAACAATCTTGGAAATATTCAAATGAAAACACTCTTTTTTTTTTTTTTTCTCTCTGATGAAGAAGATTTGCTTGACGATAGTCTGATTGGGTGTGTCACTGGTTAGTCAGTCTGTACCTCCCATCCCTGGAATGATCCCAAGTCTCTGCCACAGTCAGCCATGCATCAGAAGTTTATGCCTTTTTGAACACATGACTCACAGTAAGAACACTCTTCCTGGCCAGGCGCCATGGCTCACGCCTATAATCTCTGAACTTTGGGAGCCAAGGCGGGCGGATCACGAGGTCAGGAGATTGAGACCATCCTGGCTAACACGGTGAAACCCCGTCTCTACTAAACATACAAAAAATTAGCCAGGTGTGGTGGCGGGCGCCTGTAGTCCTAGCTACTCGGGAGGTTGAGGCAGGAGAATGGCGTGAACCTGGGAGGTGGAGCTTGCAGTGAGCCAAAATTGTACCACTGCACTCCAGCCTAGATGACAGCAAGACTCTGTCTCTAACAAACAAACAAACAAAACAAAACTCTAACTGTCACCAAGTCTTCTTTTCCCTTTCTTATAGCTTGGAAAGACAGGAGCAAGATATTCACTCCTATCGGTGTTTCTATTTGTATCAGCCATGTGACCACAACACTATCTGCCAAAAAATACTGTAATAGTTTATTAAAGATATATAGATATACATATTCAATAGAAAAATATATTTTTTTTATCTTTACAAATACTACTGTTTGCTGTGGGACACTCAGATGATCATTTTAAATCATTAGGTAAGATAGAGAACTTTGTCACTTTGTCATTCCAGCCAAGAGAGCTCTATCTTTTTTGTTGGAGTTGGAGATCTCCACCCATACGTGGAGTGCCGGTGACATGGGTAGGCCCCCTGGGGCTTCCATGCAGTGCTCCATGGGAAGCCCAGAGGCTTTCATGTAGTGGGAAAGGCTTTTATTCTTAGAGGTGTTTCTGGTTTTGAATTTCCTGAGGAGGACAGTTGCTTACATACAGCGTTCCAGCATGCCAGCACTATTTATTGACCCTGATCTGTTTTTATAGCCTTTTGAAATTTAGTGAAAACCGTTTTTCTTCATTTTCAAGTAATATAAGCTTTGAAGTTTCCATGTTACATGATAGCCCAGCAATAGGCAAACAGTGGTGCAAGGGTTCAAGTTCATAAAAATGAATGTAAAAATTTTAATCTGGTTTCACTTAATGGCAGTATTTTATGATTGGCATTTACATGCCTTCTTTTTAAGCATCATGGTTCATTTCACCTGTGATGTAATATCTATATCTAGCAAAAACACGATTTTTTGTTTCAAAGAAAGAGTATATCAAGATGAAAGTCAGCTTGGCAAACATCAACTTAAAAATTCACTTCAGTTGTGGTAAACACACTCT